TGTAGTGGCTGCAATGGCTTCAAAGGTCTTGGCGTCACAATAACTTTACTGGGAAGTTTAGATTCTTCGATTTCTTCTTCATCCACATTATTAGATATTTTTTTATTAACTTTTTCTATAGCTTTAATTCGTTTTTTTTCAGTCTTTGGTGGTATGGATTTTTTTACAGCTATTATATGAGATTTCAGGGGACCCGCATTTACTTCTTCATCCACTTCGTCGTTTAATTCTTCTTCAATTATGACTTCTGGAGGATTCTCATCTTTGCTAACATTGGAAGATTGAACAAGTTGATTCAAATAATTTTTAGAATTCACTGGTTTGAAATTATTTTTTAAAGGTCCTAATCTAGTTTTAATATTCTTGTTGCTCGTTATAGTATTACGATCTTGTTCCAAGCATTTGTTAGTCTTATATTCTAATGTATCTAGCGTCAATTTCTGTTGAAGTCTATGAGCGTTGCTTATTCCTAACCGATCTTTTATACTACCCGTCAATTTGTCAGGTAAAATCTTAGATTTGAAATTAGGATTATCTTTATCTTTGATATCAATCAGTTTATTAGATCGATCATTTCTAATGGTACCCAATCGACTTTTAATATCATTCGCTCTATCTACTTCTTGTTGTCTTGTTTCTATTTCCCTATTTCTCTTCATACGTTCCTCCAATTCAAAATTTCTATTACGTTGTGAATTGGTATTATGACTGTTATTAAATCGTTTCTTATCGAATCTTTTTTCTAACTGTTTATGTCGTGCTTCATTATCAGCTTTTTCTCTATAAATTTCAAATTTTTTTCTTGGCGAGGCAACACCAAGACGATTCTTGACAGAAACAACAAATGATTTAAGTTTTTTAACATTTTCTTCTGGAGTATTGTCATTCTCTTCTAAAGATTTGGATAATTTCCCACTGTTATCCTTTTTTTCCAATGATTCATGATGTTCGTTTCCAGATTCTAACGGTCTTTTTAAAATTCTTGTCGAAGTATTAGGTGTCTTAGAAGTTTTATTAACTTCACCACCAGATTTTGTAACTTCTAATGAAGTGCTATCCTTTGTAACAATACTTTCTTGTATCTGATTATTTATAGGTGTTGAAATATTACTAGATTTATTTTCATTATGCGCTAGTTTAGGACATTTATCTGTACCTTTAACGTGATTAACATAATTACTCTGATTCAATAGAGTCATCTTGGGGACCGGTTTATGCAAGCTTTTGTCATCTTTAATATTTTTAACAGTAGGTTTCTCTCCACTTTGTTCAGTTGTATGATCTTCCAAAAAAGATGTCGTAGATGTTTTCCTTTTCTTCCTTTCCTCTTCTTGTTTAACAACGACAGTAGGTACAAATTCTCTTGATGATTTCTTCTTAGCAACTGTTACTTTCTGAAGTTTCTTTAAAACTTGATCGTGCAACCAATCTACGAACGGAGTTGTACTGTCTTCTAAGAATAAATTTAAGTCTTCGTGCATTTGTTGACGAGACTTTTTATTCACTACCATTACTAAAATATAATCTGGTAATTCTTCATCATAGCGTACTCCTAACTCTAATAGTTTAGCACGAATAGCACTCTAAAAGAAAATTATAACCAAAAATTATTATTATTATTATTATTAAATGTAAATAAATATATATATAATCATTGAAATAAGAATATTTTTCTAATTTCTACTTACTCTAAGTTGATTTGTTACTTCTATTCCCCTTATATCCATTATGTGTTTTAATTAAATCAATATCACTTGAAATAAAACATAAGTCTTTAAACTTTGCCTTATATTAGTATAGCATTGGAATTATCATGAATTTATTTATCGAATAAAAATATTCTCTGCCATCTATGAGACAATTTCTTCGAGACTTTCTCCACGACAAAACTCCATTATAATTGGAATTTTAACTAAAGTAGGTATCGCTGCATTGAACATGGAACTTTTATTAAAACAGTAAAGTCACTATACCGTGCTATATTCATTTTGATAATAACACCTGGGATTACGTTGTAAAAGAAAATATTGATCAATCAATGGAAATATCAAAACAAAAAAAACATTTTTAAATACGAATCACCACAATTCTATATATTAATATCTTAAATCTATCAAATTTAGGTTACTGTTTCCAATAATTTACAATACATACCAACATATCTAGGAATATTTTTTTAGTTATTTGGATATACTGTTTGCGTACTTTAATTTATATATAGCGCCAAAATTCAAATCTAAAATCACTTATCCCTATAATATCGGGTCTTTATAAAATAATGAATAATATATTGATTTGTTATAAATTTTCTAGTAGCCTATAGTTTATGATATTATTTTTTAATGTAAATAACAACGTTAAAGTTAAGTAGTAAGCATTAATTAATTATCTAATTGTTTTCTAAACACTTCAGTTTCAAAATGGCGTCAAAGGAAAAGATACAATCTTTATAATGATATGCATTAGTTAATAATGTTAAACGTAACTTTAAATGTTAATGTGGTACATAAATATTAAAAATGAACCGTTAAAAAATATAACTTAATATTTTCTTATTAAATTAAATTATTTTTGTTTCAAATGATTCAAGAGAGTTGGTAACATTCTGCACTTTTACTTGCATAATAATTATCAGAGTCATCTTAATACACATATTTTCAGATAAGTAAAAACTTATTATTACAAAATAATTAATAAAAATTAGGTTGTAGAAAAAGAAATCCATTATTTTATCGGTAGAAGAAAAAGTAAAGTATCAATTTCAGATTTATGGTTGTTGGAAAGTTGACATTTCGAACTAAAAAAATTTTTTTCCTATATTTTGTTTGGTCCATTCAGTTGTGAGTTACAGGGTCTTAAAAATGAAAGTCAATAAAGAAAAAGTTCAGTACAGTTTACAGTTTTTCTTTGACAAAAGTAAAAATGCAAGCCAGACGGCTGAAATTGTGAATGGTGTTTATGGTCCTAATACTGTAACAGCCAATTGCGTACAATTTTGGTTTCGTCGATTTCTATATTAATTTAAATAATATTAAAATCATCGATTAATATATTAATAATAATAATATTATTTTTAATTTATAATTTATAATATTATTTATTATTATAAATATTAATAATATTAATAATATTAGATATCATGTAATATTAACAATACTGAACAAAAAAGATTTAATAAAAATGATTAATGCAGAAAACTTGATAGATTTATTCTTCAATCATCATCTATTTTTATCTCCTTTCTTGCTTGCAATAATGAGCACTATTTTTTTTCATATTTTACATGTTACATGACCGTTCGGTAAAACTCGTCTAGGTTCGTGTAATTTCGTATTTTAACTCGTTACTAACCGGTAGATGTACAAATTGTATCTGATTAAGATCTATTTAATTGCTGAGCTATTTTGTCTTCCATAAGTTTGAAATAAAATCATTTTATATTTTTTTGAAGAGGATCGATAGAATTTCAATTGTGTGCGTGTATAAATTTGTACGTGTTAAACGTCATGAAAATGCTTTTTCTCAATACAAGTAATGACTAAAAACTAATAAAAACAAAAATACACACATAAAAAAAAATAATAATCACTACATACTCATCCTACAATAATTATTTTCAATTACATCACAACGTTGATCATTTTTTCCGCATTTGCATTTGTATATAACATAGGTAGTACTTACTCAGCAGCACAGTTAGACAAATCACTGAACATCCGGTTTGTTAACTACATTTTGTTTCATACCTTTAAAAATAAGAGTCCAGGTTAGCAGTGATTTAACGTAGTAGCAGTGGTTAGCAACAAATCAACAACGCTTGATTTTGTTTATTTAATTGTAGAAACATTTGCTTGTTAATAGTCAAGGTGACAACGTCTAATCAATTTGAAGATATTCTGTATTTCTTTCTTTTTTTAGTTTCCTCCATCGTTAAAAAGCCAATACTTAAAACCGCAACACGTTTTCTGTCTTCCATGGCTGAGGAATTGCAAAAACATGGGGTTGTTCCCGATGTCATTGATAAGGCTCCATCCACCTTACTGGACGTATCCTATCCCAATAATCTTGTTATTGAGGTCGGTAAAGTTTTAACTCCTACTCAAGTTAAGGATCAACCTACAGTTAAATGGGCTGGGGATGCTAACACTTTTTATACCCTTTGTATGACCGGTAAGTTGATTTTATTTGTATTTATCAAATAAAGTAATTAATGCAATACTATAAGAAAAAGTTAATGTTATATTTACGAATATAATTTAATTATACACATCTTGTTTTTCTTTATTTGTAGATCCTGACGTACCCAGTAGAAAAGATCCCAAATTCCGTGAATGGCATCACTGGTTAGTTGGTAACATACCTGGCAATGACATCAGTAAAGGTGAAACTCTCTCAGAGTATGTCGGTTCTGGTCCCCCAGAAGGAACCAGCCTTCATCGTTATGTTTTCCTTCTATACAAACAACCTAAGAAATTAACTTTTGATGAGAAGCGTTTAACTAATAGAAGTGCAGATGACCGTGGTCTATTTTCTATTAGGAAGTTTGCAAAAAAGTATAACCTTGGTGATCCCATTGCTGGAAACATGTACCAAGCTGAATATGATGATTACGTACCTATTTTGTACAAGCAACTCGGTGTTTAAAGAATTCTGCTTCCAGTAATATTATTTAGTTATACTGTAATAATCAATTACTGTAAAACATGATAAAAGAGGAATATTCATATTATTTGTTATAGGGTTTATAGAGAAATAATATTGTAATATGATTTTGAATAAAGTTCTGATATATAGATAAATATGTTTGTTAATTACTCTTACTTTACGTTATTCTTAGAAAATAAATATACATAGAGATTTTATTACGTATTTTACATACATTTTTTCTTATCTAATCTATAAGTTATTTGTTTAAGAATAAAAAATGATAAACAATCTATCTGTAGTAATTTAGAGATATGTTTATTGTCCTTGGTAGGAAGAGAATCTTGGTGGGGATGACTTCAAATAAGACATTCATTTTCTATGGTAACATACTTACATCGTTGCAGTCTTTCGTATGGCAACAAGGATGAAGATGTTAAAATCTTTAGGTATGTTTTATAGTTATTTTCTATTTTCTATTTTTATTTTATCGAATTTTTTTAATTTTATAAAATTGTATAGAAAATATAACAAACATAAATGATCTTTATGACGAAAAAAAAAGAAATTATAAGATTTTAACAAATAGGATTATATAATAATTAATTTTTTTAAATTATTGTACATTAAACAAAATTATTTTCAGGAATTTTTCTCAGCGTAACAACTTTCGCGTTCGCGGACGTTGCATCAGAGTTTAAAACTGCAAATATTCAACCTGATATATTGCAAAGCGTTCCTACCGAGAAAATCGAGGTATACTTCGTATAATATTACTTACTATTAACCCATTTAAATTAAGTAACAAAGTATAGTTAATTAACAAAAAATTTGTTGACGTACTAGCTCAAATTTTGAATATGCATGAGTTTATTATACTTCAATAGTTTATGATTAAATCAATTTATCAGTTCTATCTAATTAATAAATAAATTGATGTAAAGGAAAACAAAATATATATCAAGCATTATACAAGTTCTATAACGAGTTTCTAAAATGCAGGTCAAGTATGGTAAAAACGTAGTTGATCTGGGAACCGAATTGACGCCTACTCAAACGCAAGAGATTCCTGAAATTCATTATAAACATGATGGAGGTGTTCTTTATACGCTTATTATGACAGGTATATATATTTATATATTTTTAAATAATCCCATATTCAAGAATTTCACGAAAATATTGATATCTTAAAATACTTTGTTAAAATTTTGTTTAAATCTCAGAAATATGAGAATACTTGCAGAACATTTTATTTCCAATATAATTTTATAAATAAATATTCTTTTTTTGTTTTTATAACACATCCTATGACAAATAAATTAATAAAAATACAAATTTTTTCTAAAAAGAACAATTCTTTATTTAATATTTTATTTTTGTAAGGTATATCTCGTGCCTAATATTTAAAAAAATATTGTATTCAATTAAATTATTGTGCTATAAAAAAATAAAAAATAAATAATAATAATAATTTATTTAGTATTTCTCTCGTCCAAAAATTACAATTTTTAATGATGAAATTTAACAGGGAACTTGGACATGAAAGAAGTAGAACTATGTTTGATTTAGTTGGACGTTTCGTCCCTTTATTGGGACTTC